TGGCAAAGGGTAGAAACCACTGATCTATTATCGAGAACATTATATAGATCAGTGGTAGAAACTCAAGCATTTCCAAACAGTCTTCATCATCCAACAAATACGACTTACAAGGCTGTTTTGTTTTAACATAAAACCATATGTTCTGATAAAAGCTCAGTGTTTTAAGTTATTTGAGTTAAGAAAATGAAACCAGAGGGACCGCCTATTATTAGTTGTAATATTTCAATTGGTTGGAGAGACTGCTCACTGCAGTCTGCAGAACACAAGATCCAGGGGGCGAGGTTGGATCCAGATCCAACTCCTCCCACCTTAGGTATACCTAAACCTACCATCTCCACCCCCTAGATGTGGATCCAACCCCGCCCCTTGTATCTTTGTTCTGCAGTGAGGGGCTACTGGAGTCAATGGCTGGAGCTCGATGTCCAGTTTCCTCTACTCTACCCATCAAGTCCACAGAGGTGGAGCTTGACTAGGTCAAGGTCCACCTCTTACATTAAGAGAGTGCAAGCTGGATGTCATTTGGCTTTGCAGTGAGCACCACTTGATTGGTTGGAGGAACAAGGAAAAGCTCTTATGACAACTCGGCTGTTTCATAATTGGTCAGACTCATCCATATTAACTATGGTGTGTTTGTTTATTATATAACACCTTTAGTCCTACTAATTCTCACAAATGTTTTTATAACAATAAAAACATATTTGCTTGTAATCTAGTGTTATATTGTGTCATGTTAATCAAAATTAAACTGCTAAAAATATAAGTGCTACTTTATTAGTATTTAATACAGTCTTGTCTTGAACTTTGTTTTTGTATTAACAACCAATTCTGGTTACTACTTGTAAAATTCAGATGTCTGGTTATCGGAGAAATATGACATTTAATTGCAGTTGAAGCAGAATAAATGCTGAATGTCAAATGCCGCTTTGACTATTGGCAAGAAGTGTGCTGTGGGGCTTACCCCTTTTACGCACCTCTGTCTGAGCCCACACTGAGGCGAGCTCCGCAGTAGTAATGTTGCTTTGACTGTCTGGTAGAAGAAGACAGTCAAATTATGTCTCAAAGGTGTGGGCTGAGGAAGACAGTAAACGGAGTAAAGGCTCATTTGAGACAGGGCCTCAGTGTGTGCTTGGCAGAAGTGCACATCGAGGGCATAAATGGTTTTTCTGTAACCTGAAATGACAAATGGGACACTCTGTGATCCACAAGTGCACATGAATGGTGCCATCTGGGACGGGTCCGACTCCGAAGTTGAACACACAATTTCACAATAAGGAAAGAAAAGATTATCACAACTTCTGTTTCATGCTTTAACGTATTATACATTTTCGTTTATGATTTGCAGAACTGTTGAAAGTTAACTGTACACTTTATGTATTTTATGCTGGGAAAAGGAAGACATTCATTTAGACCTGTAAATTAATCATGTGGTTCTGTGTGTTGTTTTCAGGTTCCTTCATTAAAGGGAAAGGAAGCACATACCTCCTACATCGACCTTTTATCTGTTCAAGAGTTCATTTAATTTTTTCAATAAGATTATGTGTTCTGTCATGGACGACTAGACACCCGTCATGGGGTATCCAGCAGAGAGAAAGGCTTGAAGGGGCACACCATGTGGTCATATTTTTTTTTTTAGTGTTTTTATGTTGGATTTCATATTGACTATATGTTAAGGTCCAAAGAAACCACCATTTGACATTTAAAAATGTATTTTGGTCAGTGTAGTTGCGGTGTATTTTTTAGTGATCCAGGATGAGCTTCCAAGAGCTGCCATGGAGGAATCGCATAACATCTTGTTCATCTAACCAAGCTGTTTGTTTGATGTGGCTTGTTTTATGCATCACATTATGTTAATGCAGTTTTAGTTCAGGGCACATGTCACCAGTTCTGTGAAGAAACCCTTCTGTTGTGTAATTGAGTCATGTTGTACGGACATGGATAAGGAGGATTTTTTTTTTTTTTGTAAGGGGTTAGATGTTTGTGTAATCTTGTTTGTCTTGTTCACACAGTTCATCCTCTGGACACACAGAGGGTATTCAAGCCTTTCTCTTTGCTGGACACCCCTTTCCCTTTCCCCAACTTTTTTGAAATGGAAATTATACAAAACAGTGCTTTCCTGAGGGGTTTGTGTCGCAATAGCGCACCTGCAGATTTACAGTATGATAATTCATCAGAACTCTTTCGTATATCCACATATGCTAAGTTCCCCACCACTGCGCCAGTGACGGAGAGGAGTCTCGCTCGAGCAGGCTTTTATTACACCGGAGTTGGTGACCGTGTCCAGTGTTTCCGCTGCAATGTGACAACCGACAACTGGCAGTCCGGTGACTGGCCTGCCGAGCGCCACAAACAGCTGTCTCCCAACTGCAGCTTCATTCAGAGTTTACCCGCCACCGCAAACCTCCTGTCGTCCTCCCACTCAGCCTTTTCCCCACTTCGCAACGTAGCCATCCTGCAGCTGTCCGCCCCTGCAACCACAGGAGTGTCGACCACTGCGGCATCATCTTCAGGCCAAACGGAGGACCAGGTGGGTTACCTAAATATGGGATTCAGCAACCTGCCACCCTCCAGTCCCATTTCCTCCCGTGGAGTAGAGGATATGTCTCACCAGAGAACGCTGGCTTGTTACAATCCCAGTATGCGTCGGGAACAGGAGCGCCTTGACACGTTTCAGAATTGGACTCTTGCTACAGTAACTCCAGCTGAGCTCGCCAAAGCTGGTTTCTACTACCTTGACCAGGGCGACAGGGTGGCTTGCTTCAGTTGTGGCGGCCAGCTTAGCAACTGGGAACCAGGAGACCGGGCGGTATCTGAGCACCAGAGGCATTACCCCAACTGCCGCTTTGTTCGAGGTGACCGCGCAGATAACGTACCGTTATCTGGTGGCGGCCTTTCAAATGTATCCAACTCATCAATGCAGCAGTGTGAAGAACGGCTGCTCACGTTTGTCAACTGGCCCTCAAGAATACCTGTTCGACCAGACCAATTGGCTAAAGCTGGGTTTTACTATGTTGGTAAGAGTCTTGATGACATTACAAGTCATTCAAGGTTTAACTATAGTGCTTAGATCCTCATGATTAGGATTACTTATTTCTGTTTGTTTTGGTAGGTCGTAATGATGACGTCAAGTGCTTTTGTTGTGATGGTGGACTCAGATGTTGGGAGTCTGGTGATGATCCATGGGTAGAACATGCTAAGTGGTTTCCAAGGTAAAAAAAAGTGGCATAATTTTCTGTCCCATGATGATATTATGTGAATATTAATTATGCATGCATGTTCTTCTAGATGTGAATACCTGTTGCAAGAAAAGGGCCAAGAATTTGTTAATCAGATTCAAGCAAGGTTTCCAAGACTATTTGAACAGGTATGTTAAAAATGCTGGTGTCATTTGTTATTCAAACGTTACAATGCACACTGATGGATATCTTACCTAGTTTACATGTTTTACAGCTTTTGACAAATGGAGACAGCAACTCAAGAGAATTTGTTGATCCACCTGGTAAGTTTTTTTTATTGCGTTGACCTTCATGTGATGCTAATTTCCTTTACATTTAGTCAGTGTTTTGTATTCATTAATTTTAGTCAAGTTTACTCTGACTAAAGTAGATTAAATGCGATTTTTTAAAAACCGTTTAGTTGTACACCTGGGTCCTGGGGAAGAACGTTCAGAAGATGCAGTGATGATGAACAATCCCGTGGTGAAGTCTGCGTTAGAGATGGGATTCGAACGTAGCCTGGTGAAGCAAACAGTCCAGAGCAAAATTCTTACAAGTGGAGAGAATTACAAAACCGTTCAAGAATTGGTTTCTGATTTACTAAGTGCAGAAGATGAGAAGAGAGAGGAGGAGCGAGAGCTTCTTGCTGAGGAGATGGCTTCAGGTATTTCTACAAAATGTATTTTCTGTCTAATGATTCAAGAGTTTGACTCGACTGAATCTAAAACTCATTGCGTTTCTTCACAGATGGTTTTACTTTCCTTAAGAAACATCATGCTGCTTTGACACAGCGTATAAAAAGCGTCCAGAGCTTAATGGATCATCTTCTGGAGGTGAATGTCATCTCACAGAAAGAGTATGACACTATTCGTAACTGCACTTCAGTCAAGCAGCAGACAGGGCAGCTCATTGATTTAGTCCTGTCGAAAGGAAACGCCGCGGCAGAGGTTTTCCGCAACTGGATCAAGAAGAATGATGTGTACCTGCTGAGAGAATTGATGGGTATGTAATATATGAATCGGATATAAGTGTCTGTACATTTTCAGTGTTACATGTTGTTAGTCTGTGTTAGTGTGAAACTGCACGGCCAGTAGATAGGAACACTTGAATCGCTTAAATAAATAAATTTAAAAAAAAAAGGTGATGCCTTTTGTAAAGATCCTAAAATGAGCAGGGACAAATCCACAACAAACAGAATCACTACATAATATTGACAACCAATTTTTATTTTTTTTTTGTTCTTACTGCAATTTCAGCCCAGACAAATGAAGCTGCATCACCGAGTCAAGATCTTTCAGGTATATTCAAACATGAGAAAAGGTTTTCTTTTGATTTTGCCCCTTTTTATCTCTAGCCATCACACTAAGGAAATCAGTTAGATCCCACTCTGAAACAGTGTGAGTTTGTATAAAGTGATTGACTCTTTCCATCATGTTCACAGATTTGCCTATGGAGGAACAGTTGAGGAGACTTCAAGAGGAGCGCACATGCAAAGTTTGCATGGACAAGGAGGTCAACATTGTCTTCATCCCCTGTGGTCACTTAGTGGTGTGCAAAGAGTGTGCGCCTTCTTTACGCAAGTGCCCCATATGTAGAGGATTGGTCAAAGGCACAGTCCGTACTTTCCTATCATAAAATAAACCCTTTGACAAGTAACAAAAAAACAAAAACAAACTTACAATAAAAACAAAGCAGAACAAATGTCTGATGCTTGATCTTTTTAATTCATTAACATCTCGTCTACAACAAATGCTTAAATACAATGTACAGAAATATTTCTTCACACTTAACAGCATCTGTTGAATTTTATTTCAGATTAAAAACATTTACTGCGTATATATATAAAAACTGTGCACAATGTGTTTTAACAGTTCAAGTAATTCTTAATCACGATCAGTAATTTACATGTAAAGGACACATTTGTTTTAAATGTCCAGGTCTTGAAGGTTACCCCAGCTTGGACCCACTTTGACTTTTACTCTGAGCTTAACATACAATTTCACAACACACTCCATTTCTCGCTTCATAATCTGTGCAACCTGTAAAAACAATACTATTAGACTCGTCACCACTGAACTTTTCTTATAGTCCAAGGTAAATGTAATGATTAGAGACTAGTCTTCCTAATTACCTGAATGACATCTTCCTCTGCAACCTCGTATATGAGTTCATCATGCAGCTGAAGTATAAAAAAGCCTCCTCGAGAGGGTCTACACTGATTTCTGTGCCTACCACCTGAACAAATCATTATATATTAAATTCACATCTCGCATTTAATAGTGAAAATGCTGTAATATGAAGTTGGTCATACTCAATCTGATTGGAGGGTGTTGATGTGATGTGGGAACTCCAGGAAATGCTGCCTCCAATCTACGCTGGATGTTGATGGTTGCTAATTTGACAATGTCAGCAGCAGAGCCCTGCACGGTTGTGTTTACTGCCTGTCGCTCTGCCTAACAAATGAGGACAGAAATTAAACACTTATTCCACTCCAGGTATATTCTAATGGAGGGATCACGAAGCCTTACGTGAGACTTTATGTACAAATTTGTGTCTTTTATTCCAGGCAAAAAACGCTTCCTGCTGAGTAATGTCTGCACATAACCATTTTTCCCACATTTCTGCACAGTTTCATGCAGAAAGTTCTGTATGCCTTATAGAAAAATAAGAAATTACACTTATTTCACGTTTTTCTTTTTGACCAAGCACCAATTGTAAATTGTCATTTACCAGTGTATCTGGATTTAAATGTCTCAATGTAACAAGCAGCATCATTCTCATCGATGCCCATTTGTTCTCCAAGAGACTTTGCTCCCATGCCATAGATTATTCCATAACAAATCTATTGACAAAAATTAAGATTTTAGTGACCACAAATACAATTTCAATCATCAGTGGAAAGAGATAATATTAATGTGCTAACGACTACTGTATAGTCATTTACATTAAAAAAAGCTTATATTAGAATGCTTGTACATGAAAACATATGTAAATATATTCTAATGTAGCAAACCTGTTTGGCTTGTTGTCTCATATTATCATCAACTGAAGCAGGGTCTACCATTTTCCACTCTGCTGCTATGCTTTTAAACACATCTGCACCACTGTTGAGCACATGGAGGAGCCGCCTGTCCCGGGACAGATGAGCTAAAATGCGGAGCTCCAACTGTGAGTAGTCGGCAGCCAGAATCAGACCTCCTGAAGACATGTACAAGATTAAAACAGAAAGCATGTAAATGTGGCACAAATAGTGTTTATATAAGCAAACAGATGTCCCTTTAAATTATCCCCTCTTTACCCAGACCCCTCAATAATAAAGTTTCTTACCTGAAAAAGGAACAAAAGAATGCCTCATGCTGACAGAAAATGGCATCCCTTTTTCTGGTGATACGTCCGATACCTTTAAAAGGGGTGCCAACCGCCGGTTTATCTTTAATCGTTTACCCCTGAAATAAACATAATTTTAAACATATATGTATTTTGCTCTATAGAATAAAAAAGGGGGAAAACACTGCAACATTATAAGACTGTACCACGTCTTGCTTGCACCAATCTGTGATGGTTGACTTTCTTCTATAAGTGTTGGCATCTGAATTTCAAAATCTTTTGGGACATTTTGAATGTTTGGTTCAGTAAAGCTCACACGCCCTATGTGAGAGAAAGATTCAAACATTCAAATTCTGTCACAAGCAGCAGCATATATAAATTTTAAAGGGTATTTCTTCATGCTCCACACCTGTGGCGGTGTGTGACTGTGAGATTGGATGTATTCTGTCCATTTTCAGAAGTGAGTGCCACTTCTTTTCTCGTTGCAAGGGGAAAACCACTTTTGTCAAAGCATTTGTGATCCTTCTCCACTCAAGAATAACACTTGGTAACTGATGCAGTGGCTTGAGCTTTTCTAAAACATCCTGATGAAATCAGAAAAGAGTGTATTTAGGAAGTACACACCACAAGTTTAAATGAAAGAAAAGAGCTGATACTGTGGAACGTACTTTAGTTGTACTGAACTGTTTTGAAAGTTTGATACGGGCTCCTGCTCTCCTAGTGTAGCCCAGCGTCTTCTTATTCTTTGGAGCATTTAAATCTCCATTAGGAGGCAGCTTCAACTCAAGAAACAATACCTGTAAAAGTTGAGATGGAGGATTATAAAGTTTTTATACAGGATAATGAATTTCTATGTGGGTAAATGTATAAGGCCATTATTAGTTTGAATGGAGATAATAATAACCTCTGCTACATCCTCTGGACTGGTCAGTGAGAAGCTGTGTCCTGCTAGCTGATAAGCTTGGGATTCAAGAGCACTTAGCTTGGCCTGCATCACATGTTTCTGAGCCTCACATTCGGCAACGCTAAACCCAATTCCATTTAGCTCCAACAACGCCAGGCAGTACTGGGTGGGCATCTCTACTTTCTTGAATGCGTCTAGCAAAGAAAATAATAAGACATCAAATAATTAGTATCTATATCACCAACTTAAATATAGACCAGGTTTGTTCAATCCTGCACCTGTAGTGCCACTATCCTGCAGAGATTATCTCAAATCCTAATTAAAAACATCTCAACCAGGTAATCAAGATCTTCAGAATTACTAGAAACTTCCACGCAAGTGTAGGGGCTGGTTGGAGCTCCTACTCTGCAGGACACTTGCCCTCCAGTAGCAGGAATGGACACACCTGATACAGACAAATCAAGAGGCTCAAATGATGTTTCTACCCAAGAAACCATCCTTTTCAAGAAGACAATTGAGTTGCGTCATGACCCTGAAGACCAGAACAGACTCAACAGCAGATCTGTAGCGTCCAGATTGACTGGCACCTCCATAGATCCCTAAACTTTGCACACCCTGACCAGGACTAATTCCTTCCAGCATCAGGAGATCCTCAGTAGCAAAGCTGGATACCATGTTGTGGAGAGTGCGCTCTTTGGAGCTTGAATCCAGAAGCCAGCATGCAATCTAATGAAGGACAAAGAATTGAATGTAGTTAGATATCCTATCCCCGTCAAACTCTGAACAGAAAGGGTGATCTTTTTTATTTCAATTTGACTGTATTCTATCCAACCTTTGGGTCTTCAAATGTGCCACGCATAGCAAGCTCGCATGCGAGTAACAGTGTCTTGTAAACATGAATGAAGTCATAAGAGACCATCACACTTGATTCTTTTTCCAAGCAGCATTGAATTTGCTTCAGTCGCTCCTCAACTGTAAGAGTCTCATCAAGAGGTGGTGGAGCTAAGCTGGCACTTATATCTGTCAAAAGACAAGAATAGCAGTAGGTATAGAGGCATTCAATGGAACAAGCTCATTAAAGTTGGTCAACAAGTTCACAATGACATGTTTCCTACCCGTGTCTGACAGCTCCTGTTGTAGAGACACAAAATAAGCATCTTTTGCTCCCCAGCATACAGATATGCCAATGACAACAAGATCCTCATATCCCTTAAGAAGGAAGCCATCTTTTCTTTTCCTCATTGGGGTAGTAGCTTCAAACAGATTACACAAGTTTATAAACTGGATAATACATTTTCTTATATGTACAGTATATTGAGATACTAAAACATAGAAAACCAATTTATTCTGAAGTCTTACGTTTTTTGAATTTTCCACCTATAACTGTCTCAGCTTTCACTGAGGTGTTGTCTATCTTCTCACAGGCAAGAGCAAGAGAAAATCTGTCCTTTGTTTTCCACTCCTTTATAAATGTATGGAAAAGCCTTTTATCACTTGCCACATCAATTATGGAGAATGTCTCTGGACTGCAGGAGTTTGAAGCAGGAACTGATTTACACTGAGAAAGCCTCATAAAGCCCTCATCAGCCAGAGAAATGTTTAACTCTGATGTGGAGTTTGTCCTCAAACAAGACTGATAATCTTTCTGCGAACTGGATTTAGAATTTGGATCCAGTTCAGACCTGTGCTTGGTGACATTAAGAGGTGATTGTATAGCTGAAGTGGTCATTTTAACTCGTGGTGTGACTGGTTCAGAAACTGGCGTGGGAGGAACAAGGTCATTGTGAGTCACTGGTTTGGCCTGGACTACCACGAAATCTTCTGTTCGTGAGTTTCTTGGACCTCCATGATCAATTCCATAGTTTGTTACTGGGGATACAGCTTTTTCGACAACAGCAGCAGCAGCAGCATTTGGTTTCACCACTGTTGAATTTGACTGCCCTGGAATCTCAGATAGGGTTGAAAACTGATCAGACCATTTGTCAAAAATGTCCTGCATTCCTGGGCTGATGTGAAACGATGAACTGTTTAATTGACGTCTTTCAGCTGAAACGTTTGAATGAGGCTCATTGCTTTGTGATACATGTAGTTCAGACACAATGTAATCTGTATAATTGGGCTTCTCTACACCCAATCTTGGGCCATCACCAGCCTTGACAGCGTTGTTCATTTTATCAAGGTACTGCTCTCCAATAAGTAGTGAATCTCCCCATTCTGAAAGGTTGAAAGATGATTCGCCCCATTGGATTGCTTCCTGATCCTCCGTTGACACGGCATCTCTTCTCTCCGGAATGAGTTCTGGAGAAGAGCCGTTTGAATTAGCATGCGCTTCAACCACCTGTTCTTCTTTGTTGTTTCGATCCATTGCTGCCTCCTCCATGGCATCCAAGATGGAGTTGTCATAGAGACTGTCAAACAGAAAACTGCTGCTCCGGTTGAAGCTGTTGTCAGTAACATGATCAGAGGGCTCATGATTTTCCCTTTGCTCAGCAGGTTTATCGGAACTTGATTCTTCTTCAGTAACCTGGTTACTGTAATTTAAAATATTCTCCAACTGGCTGTCAGTAAGCGAGATGTTATATTTCGGTTTGAATTCAGTGGCCAGGCCATTCTTATGAGGTGATAAACCTTCAACTGGGTCTTTGTTTTGGTCTTTAAATGTTTGATTCTCATTTTCCAGGAAAGAGGACTGGTTGACAACTTTTATCTCACTTTCTGAATCAACATGATTGTTATTTTCTTTGAGAATGTTTAAATTACCAATGCCATGTGAAAAATCATCTCCTTGAAGCATTTTCTCAGTCTGTGTATCAAGTTGAAAACTATCACCGAACTCTTCCAATCCAATTGCGTACAAGTCAGGAGAGCTAAGCTTCTCAGAACAACATACTAAATCTCGTTTAACTCTGGTGTTTACCTTTAAGACAGTTTCATCTCTGCTGCTGATATTCCCGAAACTGCCAGTAACAGTTTCTCGCTTTTCATTTTGAGTTAAATGTTTCTTTTTAGATGTGCACTTTTTCGCAGTGACATCTGGGGTTTCCGCACCCTTTTGTGGATCATATGAGTGAGTTTTTGACTCAATGACTTGGTTCAGTCCAGCAATGGATGACTGGAGATTCATCTTATCTTTATCTATTCTACAGTCAGTTTCAGGTTTATTAAAGCAAAGCACTTCAACATCTGATATTAGTTTAGGGTCTTTTGAGATTAGAGGTGGTGTTTTTGATTCACTGACTGTGGGTAGTGCATCAGTGTCCACAACATCCATCTTTCTACGTTTCAAAACTGGACTTACACAATGATGGTCACTGCTAGAATTGCAGGCACTTTTTATACAGGTATTGTGTCCTAATTTTTTTTTAAGTGATTTTGAAGAGCAATCCGATGACTCAGCTGTTTGGTTATTTTGACAGCCCTTGTCTTTCGCATTTATTGATTTGAGAACTTTATGCAATGTACTTGATTGCTGTTCACATTTCTTAGCAGGCTGACAGTCAGCAGATGATACACTTGAGTCAATATCCATTGGCTTTTCTGAATTAGTAGTGACCTCTAATGGCCTCAAAGGAGGATGGGAACAACTGTCAGAATGTTTATCCACCAACAACTTCTGTTTGTCCACATTTGTGGTTACATTTTGCCCCTCTTCATGTTCTGGGCCCTTAGACTGTAGAGGTTTTTCATAGGCTGATTCCTCGGGTGCATGGGAATCTGGCTGGGTCTTTGTTGCGAGGGATGCTGGGTTCCATTCCACCCCAAGAAAAGCCAAATCCTGCTGGAGGAGCAGCTGGGCCTCAGCCACAATTTGCTGAGCAGCCTCCCTTTCAGTCAATGCCTTTTTCCCGCTGACCCAGATGCAGCGCAGGCTCTTACGTTCTTGAGCCTCTACCTCGCTTTCATCCACCGCCTGCCTGGAGCTGCAGAGAAATAAATTATCACAGTATGACTTAAAATAATCTATGGATGAACCAATATTCAAATTCTGTCCATTACAATAAACCGTTATGGATGGTGACCATACCACAAACTAAATTAATGCCCAACTAAATTAAAAATAAAACACAAAAAATCAGTAATTTTAAATGCTACAAGTGAATTTATGGATCATAACATTGTAATGTATTTAACTTAAAGTAACTGTTCAACAACAGCAAGGGTGATTAAAAAAAAAAAAAATCAATCATTTTAAAACTATGTAATATCAGCCAATAACTGATACACATCTCTAAAATGACCACATTCTGCAGTAAATAAAAAGCCTATCAAACATAAGAATAACCTTTTAGGCTAATCATCTCCCAGTTTCATTACCTTTTGAAAGGGATTGCTTTCCTGAGGGCCTTCTCCAACTCAGTAACATCAGCTCTGGCCACCTCTGCCACTGTGACAAGCCCAGAGCTGTAGAGCATACGTGCTCTCTGAGCGTTTAGTAAAGAAATACGAACCAGATCACACAGCTCCCTCTGGACTCCAAAACTCAGACGACTCTGGAACTGGGACAGAAGCAGCTCTAGATTGTGCCATCCAAGTCGATTACAGAAGACTGTAACCATACCTGAAAAAAATCGTTGCCAAATTTTTAACTATGGCATTGTTTATCTCATATTGACAAGTAAGCAAGCCCGTGCCTACATTCTCACAGAGATGTCAATGTACCTGCATATGTTGAGGCAGACTGCTGAAGTGACTGAAGCTGTCCTCGGCTACAGCCATACTTCTTTGCGACAGCTCCAAGTGGTTCTTCGCTTACCAGTTCATGGATAACTAACGTTGTGAAAAAACTGCACAAAAATAAAATTCACGTCAACATGCTGTTACTTAACTGTAAACATCAATTGAAGCACTCTGTATTCAGAAAATACATAGTACCGTTTGTGAATGGCCATCTGTCTGCGTTGCTTTTCTGTTTTAGCAATTAATTTGCCACCAACGGAGCGGGCCAGGAAACCTTCTTGGATGCCCACCATCTCAGCCACCCGTTTCATTGCAGACGGTAGTTGCTCCCACAGACAGAAGAACTGGTACCAGTCAATTGTAGTCCAGTCCACATACACAGGTGTTATCTTAAAAATGCAAAACACAATTTTGTTAATAACCCATATTTTTAATATAAAGAACAAATCTGAGCTAGAAAACATTGTTTTGTTTAAAAAAAGTGTTTTGTATACCTGATAGAGGATATGGAGATCATTTTCCAACACAAATCCTTTCATTGCTCTCTGGAGATCTGCAAAAATCCCCAGGGCTTCTGGGGGTGATAAAGATGAGGACAGAGTCGCAGAACCCAGATGCGTGGGGCAGTACCTCTCCACTGTGAGACAGACAATTATCAAAATGTCAACATCTATCATAGACCACAAAAAAAAAATAATAATTTTTTGGATAAATTACCATCTCCCTCCTTCTGTATATGTATAAACTCATTGTCCATCAGCCACTCTATGCAGGCTTCAATAGCCCCCTTGTTTCGAGCTTCTGTTTCAGCTTCTTCCTTACGTGGCTGTTCGGCTGCAATACTGGCTGCGAGAAGAGTGCAAGAAGCATACATCCTCACATCCTGTGGTGAGCTGGCGACTCCTCCAACGATGATCTTCAGTAAAAATGATGAAATTAAATCCTGTACATTACGCAACCAATACAGTATCATACAACATACTATAAAGAGAAAGATATTCCCACCTCGAGGATGGCCCTGAGCATGCTGGTAGTGACGCCCTCACCCTCCCGCTTCACCAAGCAGCTGCTGATAGGCTTGAGTGAGCCCTGGATGAGGCTCATGCCTTTCGCACGTTCAGCCTCTTTACAGACCAACACACTCTCACCTGAGTCAACACAGATCATTACATCACTATTAACTGTAATACTTTTAAAGTTTTTGAAGGAAGATTGTGGATCTTAATATTGTTGTGGAAACCGCAAAAATAAATACTTTTTTTTTTGTTTGAATTATTTGATGATTTTAAATATATTTTTTGTAACAATGTAGAAGTCTGGAATGTCAAAAACTGTTACTTTTGATCAATTTAACAGTTATTTTTAACAGCAGTATACATTATATAACAATAATATATAACATAATAATATACTGCATCATAATAATATATTGAAGATTGAAAATTGAATTGAAAACCTGTAGCACTCACCCATGGTGTCCACTCCTTTACGGCCTGCTCGTCCCACCATCTGCTTATAGGTTAGAATGTCCAACAAATGACCATTAAAAACAGGGGTTCTGATAATCACACGTCGTGCGGGCAGATTTACACCAGACGACAAGGTGGAGGTGGCAGCTAGCACCCTAATGTATCCTTGACGAAAAGCACCTTCTAGAATATCCCTCTCATCAAATGTCAGACCTAAAACAAGGATTACAAGGAAACACAATGGATTTGGGATGTCCTCATCTTTTTAAAATGACATAAAATTTTACTTTATGATGTTTTTATCGTTTAAATATATATATATATATATTTTTTACATTTTATATTATTTAAATTATCTACTTAATTACATTCTTGTCTAGCAGTAGGATCATTTATTTAATTATTTCCATTTTATTTTTTAAAAAGTTTTTTTAAATAGTACAAAAACTGAAAAAGTGTTCATAAATCTTAATAAAAGCTCTGACTAAAATGTTATATTTACTCCAAAATCAATCATGTAATCACATGTACCTGCATGGTGGAAGGCCACCCCCCAGGGAACCGTTCGCTGAAGCACCTGGTCCAAGCCTGCAGGAGTACGCTTGAGCTGGGCTACAACATCCTGGAGACCTTCCTGATTCAGAGATATACTCTGCACTCCAGAGCCTGACTGCATTTCTGCAAAAGCAAACAATGTTAAAGCATAACACATACCTGAATAGTAAAAAGCATACAACTTGATAGATCTGTATACCTTTGTGATGAAGATTGTAAAACTCTCTTCCAATGCTGTCTGCTAGTTTCTCACACCAGTTCTTTGAAGGGCAGAACAGCAGTGCAGAATGTCCATCCTGCACTGTCTCAAAGCAGAGGCTGACAATGTGATCATCATCTCCCTACAGACAGAAGAACTTCTTATCTTGTAATAGTTAACATTAGCAGGTACATTCTATGTCATGCAAAAATTTGATTCAGTTTTCAGAGGCCAACAAATATGTCACGCTCTGACCTTTACGGGAAGAGCTGGGGTGAACTGTCTGACCAGGTTCATAGATCCATCATAGACATTTGTGCCTATCTTGACCCACTCCATCAGTGGCACAGGACGATAGTTAGTACTATACAGCTCAGCATTCAACCAGCGAGCAAGAAGTTCCAAGTTTGGCAGTGTGGCACTCATACCAACAATCTGCACACCAGCAGAGGTACTTTGAGCAGAATCCCTTAAAATAGAATCTATGTTAACCTTCACCAGAGAAAATGATTATCAGGACCATTTCTGGGGGATTATTGGCTTAAACGTTGCATTATCACATACCTTTCTGTGTTTTTTTGGGCAATGTATTGGATTTTAGTCAGCAAAAGTTCTAACAGATATCCACGACCAGAGTCCCCAACCATGTGCAGCTCATCAACCACAACAATTCCTGCAAATTGGGTGAAAATTTTGTTTTACAAGAGTACCTTTAAGAGTAAAAAAACTTAAGTGGTAAGAAAAAAAAAAGTCATTATTTTACCAAGAAGATCCAATTTGTCTTCTTCAATGAGTCTGTTGATGAGTCCATTAGCTTTCTCTATTGTGCAAACAGCTACATCCAGAGCTGAAAACCCACCAGTTGCTGAAGTGTTACCCATATACCCCTCCACTCTGACCCCTACCTCCTGAAATACATTCTGGGTGAAAATGGCAAGCATATAAGTAAAGTCTAATCAACAACATTCTTAAATGTATATTGACAGACATATTAAATTTAGAAATCAACAATTACATATGTAGATACTGTACTATGCACTCACAAACTATGATCTGTGGGCCAACTGAGATGACTGAGAATTATATATGCACTCATCAAATGGGAACCAACCTGTAGATAAAACATCTTCTCACGAGCCACAGACACAAAAGGAAGAATGAACATGGCCTTTTGTCTTGTTTCCAAAACTCTCTTCAAGATTAACAGCTCAGAAACCAAGGTTTTTCCTGCACTGGTTGGAGCTTAAAAAAGAAAATGTAAAACTTTAAATTTTAAACTGGGAAAAAATTAGATAACTACATATATTCTAGAACAGTATCACGCAATCACAAGTAGTTATAAGTTAAATATTTAGTATGTGATCAGGTGCTGTTTCTCAGGAAAACAAGACTAAATACAAACAAAACATTTGCAGTCAACAAGAAGAAGAAAAACAGCTATTTACCAGAATATACCAGGTTCTGGCCCTCCAACACTTTGCCCAAGGTCAGACACTCAGCCTGCCACTCAAACATCCTCTGAACACCGAGACTCTGGTATTTCTCCAGAGCAGGCTTAGGGAGACCCCAATTAGAGAGCAAAAGCTTGTCTGACTGATCGGCAGGACGTCCCATATGGATGCTTTGTGCTGTTTGGTATAATAAACGGCAACAACTGAATTAATATTTCACATACCAGCATTTTTTATTGTTGTTGTTTTCAATAACAGAATGCCACACAAGTTAAAAAAGTTTGGAGTCAGAAAGTTGTTTTAAAAAAAATTAAATTGATGAAAATTGACAGTAAAGACATTTTTTGTGTTACAAAATATTTGTTCTAATAAATGCTATTCTTTTGAACTTTCTGTTCTCAAAGAATCCTGAAACAAGTATCACAGTTTCCACTAAATTATTATGCAACACAATGGTTTTTATCATTGACATATATCTGTTGCAGAGGAGCATGCTTGATGCATGCGACTTGATCGTGTATGTGGTTTCTCATCTTCAAGAACTAAGCTACACAAATAAAAAAAAATACCCGTTAGTGACAACAATATTTACATTTCCCATCTGCCATAAAACAAACAAATGCAAAAACATGCAGTTAAAACAAGCTCACCCTGAAAATATACGAATTATAGCCTCAACATTAAAAAGCTTTGTGATTTTAACGCTATTGTTTTCAGCGGGAACTCATTTAAAGTCTCGCTTACTTATTTGTGTACATTAAACACAGTTCTTCCATGCGTTAAGATTAAACAGTGAACCATTAAAAGCTCCATGTCAACCAAGTTTGTGAACAAAACTATGGAAACGTACACAATCAATACAAGCACAACACAGTTTCAGATTTCCAACCAATCTAACGTACCCCTTTGTCTTTACAATCCGATGCTGTCCCAAATAAATCTTTCTTGTCGTTGAAGTAGTCATCACATTTAGAAATTAAACGACTACTAGCAGTGTCTTTACATTCAATGCTTTGGTTGATTAAAAATATAAATAAAATCAAATATTTTGTTAAGCTAGCTGTTGTGTTGCTACCTCCCGTCGCTCCACACAAACAATCTCATATTAATGAATTAAAATAAATGACTGGCATTTCTCGTTATTTCAGCCAGTCGAGCTAGCATTTATCAGAATAAAGCTATTTACATAAAACCGTCGTAAAGTCTTTGAATAAGTGATATTTCATTGGTCCTGTCGTCTATACAAAATTTGTTAATGTAAATTCATATTTAATGGCAATTCTAAGAAATCAAAACAAAACAAAAAACAACCAAATCAAAGAGCCCGCGGTGTTTGCACACAAAATTGTCCCGGGGAAACAAGTCTACAGAGTCGAGGTTCCTCCAGTGACTGTATACAATATCACATCCTTGTAGCTTAAAAAAAATCTAAATCATATATAAAAAACGGCCAGTTGACACGCCTTTATCCTTATTATGTTGAATATAATATTGAATAAAGATAATATTCAAATGTCGTTCTTGTTTTAGTGGTGTGTGTGTGTTAGTGAATCATATTTATGAGCGAATTTTTTAACTGAACGATTCGTTCTCATCACTCCCATGATTCATATTTTTCGTATATATGTCTCCCGTATAAATGACCGTTTTGCCGTCTTAATTAAAGATTTACTATAGCACGATCAAATAGAATCCGAGGTATCGAGTTTACTTTTGGTGATTCAAAAGCTTCGATTCATTTGGATGGATTAAAATTCCCACCACAGCCATCACTCGTCTCACTCATCTATCTCGCAACACTGACATGATATCTGCAGTATGCACACTGCTCAGAGTAAAGTCCTGTTCCATCAACGTGATCACAAAGTACCTTGAATACATTTCTTTAACTCATTTAAACCTGAAATGATAATGCAATTCTAAGGTTTGAAATTGATCGTAATTTATCTTTAGTTAAAGCTCCACAGAGCAGCATATAAGTTATTGTTGCACGGTAGATGAGGCTGTGCTTCTTGAGAATCGAGGGAGAAACCAACGAGGAAGAGAGCTACCCGGGCTCTGATGGCTTCAGAGTTGAGACAGAACAATGTCAACTAATATAATAATAATAATAAATGTACCTTTTGTAATGTATCTGTTGAAGATATTGAACATTTATTTTTCTATTGCCCTTTTTCTATTTCATTTTGGGTTGACTTTAAAATAGACATAACAAAAAAATTAAACAAAGCCCTTAATTTAGAACCTCGTGATATTTTACTTTGTTATCAAAACCCATCTTTTTTCTGATAAACATATTTATATTATTAATCTGTTAATTATCTTAGCAAAGTTTTATATACATAAGTCAAAAGTAATTCAAAAGAAACCATCATATATTACATTTTGTAACACTGATCTTAAAATATACTTTGAAACCATTTCTAATATGAGATCACAAAATAAGAAGCTAATAAAAACAATACAAATCCTAAAGCTTTTCAAAGTTATATAACTGCCCTAATGTATGTATTATTATTATTGTTTATTTTTTTTATTTTTATCCTGTTATTTTTATTTTATATATATATATATATATATATATATGTTTGTATTCATTTTGCGTTTTTGTTGTTGTTGTTGTTGCTGTTGCGCATAACAGCACAGTAGGTGGCGATATGCTCAAAGATTGCAACTCGCCATAAAACCAAGAGGAAGTAGAACGAGGAAGAGAATCGTGCTTGTTTTGAAAGTCAAATTTTGAAGCTCACTTTTTTGTTTCTGGTCTTTTTTCACGAGATCATTTTCTTTATTGTTGTATGTCTTTAATAGATTTCATTTTAAAAATATTTAAAAAGTCATTTAAAATTTGAGTCGTCATTTTATTTGCATTTCCTTGGAGAGAATAATGGTATTGTGGTCATTGTTTGTAAACCTTGCCAGTATTTTAAGCACTCATGAGCAACAAACGGGCTCTGGTGAGTTGCACGGTACTTTCTCTGCAAGACTCTTGTTTTGTGTATCCATGCTGCAAAGGCTGTCTATCCCGATTAAGTCAGGAAAGCAAAAGGTACGTTGTAAAATTAAGTAATTTTTTTATTACAAATTATGTTGAATGTAATTTAAATGTATTTTGCGAATGTATCATTATGTGTAATTACTGATGCTATAACAAAATTACTATTATATGTGTGTGTGTGTGTGTGTGTGTGTGTGTGTGTGTGTGTGTGTGTGTGTGTGTGTGTGTGTGTGTGTGTGTTTGTTTAAAAAGTATCTGAACATTATGAATAACTACTGAATCATTATCTTTAGGGCTATATGTGGAAGATGTGGATTCACTTGTGACTTACAAAACACTGACTACAGATACAGACTGTCATTTAAAGTGTCCAGAAACCAAGACATATTTGGTGTGACAGTATTCGGGGGCTGTTTAAATCCCTTCTTTGGCATTACTGCTGGTGGCCTTCAAAGGTGTGTTTTAAAGCATTTACAAATTTTTAACATCTTGAATAAACATTTCTGTTGATTCATTGCTGATATAAAGTGTGATGTTTCCAGATGTATTGATTTGGAGAAAACTGAAGGCACACATACTGTTCAACTACTCCTTGTCAAAGCTGTGGAAGACTGCTTTATAGGAAGATGTGTCATTTTTGGATTGAAGGTATGGAGTATGTCTTCATTTAATTTGGGGTGGAGCTGGATTATCCTCTTTTTATTAATTTTGCTCATTTCTTGTTCCTTCCTAACAGGTCCCTCATAATGTTGCCACTTCTTCGCTGTCTGGACAGTTAGTGGCCTGCCAGATCATTTCTCCATGTGAGTCTTCGATGGGATGTACTGTAATTGGTTATTTTAAAAACCTCCTGCGAGAAAATTCTCTCTCTGCCAACAGTATCTGTCCATCACAACAGAAAGACTCACAAAGTTCTCAAAGAAATGAACTCAGTTTTGATTATACTCCTCCATCATGTGCAAAGTTGGATTCTCAACCCAGCAATGAAGGATTCACACTCTCAGGCGCATGGCAATCACCTGGGTTATGTTTCCCCCCGGAAGAATTAAGTAATGATGTGTTACAGCAGTCCAGAGACTGTGATCGTAATATTCTTTCACCAAAGAACGAGGAGACAAGAACATGTAAATGCACTTCCCAAAGCAACACCAGTCATTTGAAGCATGCTAATTGTATACAGGATGAACTGAAGAATGAAACACCGAAGAGTCACAGGAAATCTTTTTCCTCGAGCTGTGACATGTTTGAATCATCAGTGCATTTGAACAGTTCCACTGCATGTGACACTATAAGTCCACTTAGCACCTTGTCCTGTGGAAATAATACTGAAATAACTAAATCCGAATGCCTTGTAAGAGCTAAAACCAGGGAAGAATATGATGCACCTTTACATGAGAAGTCACTTTACAGTCTTGATTTAGAGGACACACCTTTATCCGAAAGCTTACAAGATTTTGTCAGCGTGGAGCCTCCGTTATCAGAGATACATGACACAAAGGAGCTCAGTTCAGGTAAAAGTGATCAAATGATTCAAGTGCAAAATAGATGCTCTCTGACTGAAAATTCAGCAAGCATCTCAAAAGCTATACCAATGACTCTTTGTAGCGAAAAATTTTCCTCACCAATGTGCAATGTGAACAACATAAGTTGGAATGAGAACAATGAAAATGACTATCCAGAAATTCTTGAAACTAAGATGAATAATGCTGAGATCCATAAGACTCCCACTCTTTTGTGCACTACCAATTCTTCAAAAAAGATGATTCCTTTTAGTCCTGACATTACATGTGCATTTAATTGCTCTACAAGCAACAGGTTGTCGAACAAAAAAGGACTTGCTTTAAAAAGAAAAATATTAACTAGGAGCAGACCCTCCGTGGCTTTTTGTTCAGTAAACCATGAAAAGGGCAAATATTTCAGGCACTGTGCACAAAGTGAGGTCCATTCTGTAAATTGCAAAGTCAGGCAGGAACGTATTGTGTTTGATGACCATGAAGAGAAGTACAATTGCTCTGTAGACTTGTTTGCTTCTGGTGAGAGCAGTATGTACATGAACCTTTCGGATGTGACAGAGATTTCTAAAGGCAATGAACCAAGGAATGTCAATACATCAGAGCCTGGAGGTTCGGGCTCTCTGCTTTTTTCACCATGTTTGCAATCCACCCCAGTTTCTTATTATAACAACTCATGTGGACAGAAGACCAGGCGAAGCCAAAAACGTGTAGACTCACTGTGCTCCGGAAAATTTCAATGTGAATTTAAAAGCAAGATCATAGATCTGAGGTTAAGGGATAAAAGACAAAAGGTGGATCAGATGCCGATTGTTGGGTCTACTGAGAGTTTCTCAGGCAAGTCTGACATGCAGGATGCAAGTTGTAATTTGTCTGTAAATGAGTGGTCCAAAGATCTTTTTGAAAATTCATTTTGAATTAAAATGAAGTGAGATGAATTACAATATGTGTTTTGTTTAGTAATTGTAATTGTAAATAAACAGTTTTGTAATTGTTAATAAACTGCTGTTTGAATGATTTATAAATGTTTATGGAAAAATTACAGTTTTTATTATTATAGTGAATGCATACCCAGAATTGTATATTCGTATGCATTTATATTATGTAATCATAATTAAACAGATGTTTAATTTTTTTTAAAGTTTTTTTTTAAAAGGTTTGAAAGATGTTTAATTATAAAAGTTCTGACTTGAAAATATATAATAAAAAGGGTAAGAAAAAAAACAGGTTTGTCCAATAAAATCGTGTCCAATTTGCTCAGCGTCACGTCTACCAATACTTCAGCAACCTTGTTGTATTCTAAATAGACGATTAAAATGCCAGACAGGTAGTGATGGGTAGGCCTATTTCCATACATATGTTCTTACAGCTTATTGAACCCGCTGAACCTCTCTTCTATGCAAATTATCCTACAGTTTCTCATTTTCAAGGTGATGACGACATTGTACTCTCTGTTGTGATTTTTGTTGATTTATTGAATTATTTAATTCTGATAGGCTCTTCTTGAAAATAATAGTTCTGTTTTGACCAATGGCATTGAGCGCAAAGTCTTCATCGCCCAATCAAACGCGAGCGTTTCAGCGCAGCCAATCGGGAAGCAGTGACGCGCGTTCAACTATAAAACATTCAGATGACGCGCAGTCTCCGCTGAAGTGCGACGGACATTTTGCAACGCGTTATCCAAGCAGAAAATATCGTTATTTAAACGCAAGACGCGAGGAGCTACAGCACGACATTCGACGTACAGAGGAAACCAAGAGGAAATACAGATGTTTAAGAGGACTGTGTTGCAGTTAATGTTTGTATAATAGTTTATATTGTGTGGCGACTCAACGGCTCAAAGATGTCGGACGAAGGCGCGAGGGAGGACGCATGCCGCGAGTATCAGTCCTCGCTGGAAGATCTGACTTTCAACAGCAAACCGCACATCAACATGCTCACCATTCTAGCCGAAGAAAACATCCAGTTCACCAAGGATATCGTCGCAATAATTGAAGCACAAATTGCCAAGGTTTTTATGAAAATAGATTTATTTTTGTTTCGTTTCCGTCATCGTCTTTTAGCTCGAGTGCGGCTAGTTAGTTAAACGACGACATGACATGAGGCCTGTAACATGGCGGCTGCGCGACTAGGTCGCTAACCAAAATAAATCGACGTAAAACATGTTTTGATGCTATGTTGTCGTTAACTAGTATTTAGTTAATCATGCCATTATTTTAAAAGCAATCAGAATCTAATGTTTTTGTAGCTCGGAAAAGTCACACCACTTCACATTCCCTAATTAGGCCAGTTGCAGCAGCGTGTTTATCTGCTTGTTGGGTCACAGCTGCTCATAAAGTCGGACTTACTGTTGACGCATTTGGCTTTGAGTGAATAATCCATGTTTTACCTTGTCAATAAGCTTATCGTATAATGATAACAGCCCGGTGGCTTCACATACAGTATTCGCTATTTATTTATTTATTTATTTAAACCAATGTTACAGTAGAACATACGTTTTATTGTTCAGTGTTAATATAGATATTAATGTAATTTAATTGCATATGGTTTTATTAATCATAATTTATCCATATGAACCCTAGATAGGAAAGATACAACATTTCCGTATTTGTAATCCGCGCAGCGACCCGATTAATCGTCGTTGTGTAGTTGATTGTGTACTTTGCATAGCAACTTTGTAATTCTGAATTGATTAGAAATATAAGGTGCTAAGACACACCGTGTTGATACCAACAATTAATCAGGAGTAAGTTTTTGCATACTCGTGGCTGTAGTTATGTCATGTCACCAGCTGGTACACGTGGTTTGCCGGATGGATGGGTATTATTGGGGAAATTCGTGGAAAGTTTTCATATCCTTGTTTATGTTTGCAACCTATTTGAAATCTTGCATTAGTTCGGATAGTCGTGTTGGGCTGCTCTGTGAAAACGAGCACGCCTGAATTTAAAGTTTTTAATACAAATGTGCGCCATTCAAATTTCTGTGTACTTGAACCTATAAAGGGTTTGGGGTGTTAGATTGCTGAATAATTTTCCATTCCTTACTGCAATGTTAATAAATGGTATACAACTTGTGACAATAAACTATGTGAAATGTTCTTTTGTCTTTATTTCCCAGTGTATTTTTTGTGGTAATGTTTGCTATGTTGATTTCATTCTAATCTAAGTGCTCTTTAATACAAAGACATTTGCATTGGTGCAGTGTCCATTCTAATGGCATTCCAAAGCTGAAAGTGTAAAAATTACTTTAAAAAATAAATTAAAAAAATACAGGATTTTACTAAAACTGTTCTACTCTCTGCACTGGGGCATGTTGGTTACAACTTGTCAAAAATCTTTTTATGGACTTGTGTAAAATGTAAAGACCAAGAAGTGTTTCATTTTTTTTTTTCTCCCCAATATGAAGATCAAATCTAAACTTGAATTTAAATGGATCCCGGAGTTGAATTCCTGGTCAAGTACAAAAAAATACAAGTGAAAAAGCTTTAACTTTTTATTTTTTTATTTTTTTTTTCTCCCCCACTTTAAAGGACTTGGGCTTCTTGCTAAAAAAAAAAGATGCCAATAACTGAAACTGATTTGTACTGACAACCTAACAAAACTATTTTCTTGATGGACTGAGCCTCGAGTGAACATTGAAGAATTTAAAAAAAATTAAAATATTCCTTATTTTTTGTTCCTGCATCGGAGAAACTTTTCCCTGATTTTTGATGGATCTGGTTTTTGAGGAACGGTCTCTTTTTTTTTTTTTTTTCCACAAGCAGTGGACTTCCCCTTAAGTGCTTGATTTTTGTTTTCTGTGCCAGTATTTTTAATCCAACGTCAACCATTTAATAACCTCAACAATCAAACTCTAATTTTATGTAGCTGTGTATTTCTCCCATGTTGTTTTCTAAACTTGTCAGTTTTCTATCACTTTAGGCACCTCCTGGTGAGAAGCTTCCAGTTTTGTACTTAGTGGATTCCATAGTGAAGAATGTTGGAGGGGAATACCTTGAAGTGTTTGCTAAGAACCTAGTCAATTCCTTTATTTGTGTATTTGAGAAGGTACTTAATTCTTTGAAATTGTGTCCATGATGTTACTTCTGATTGAACGTCATGTGCTCTTTGTCCTCATTTAAAATACTGCATTGTGCTAATTCATTCCTTTAACTTGATTAGTTTATTTCATCCCTTAATAGTAATAACTTTCAATTTTTGTTAAATTTTTTTGAATGGTCATCTATGTAGTTTTGTCAGTGTTCTTTGAGAATAAATAGTGGAGTCAGATATTCTTTCCCCCCCTTTTGCTTCACTTTAGGTGGATGAGGCCACTAGAAAAAGTCTCTTCAAATTGCGTTCCACATGGGATGAAATTTTCCCCTTGAAGAAACTATATGCAGTAGATGTGCGTGTGAACTCAATAGATCCTGCCTGGCCTATAAAACCATTGCCACCAAATGTGAATGCCAGCATACATGTCAACCCAAAATTTTTAAAACCGGTAAGCATTTAAGGAGTTCTAGCTATTTTTTTTATTTCCTAGAGGTGGGAAGAAAT